GGGGGACACACACGGACCCCTCCCACCGTGGGGGAGCCCGGAGGGGGAGGGGGGGGGGGCGTGTCCCCTCCCTTTAAATCCCGGGACGCGGCTCCTTTAAGAGCGGGCGGGGGCGGAGCTTGTGGGAGGGGGCGCGGCCTTCTCTTGCGAGGTGTGTCTTCTGATTGGCTACCGGGGGTTCCTCCCCCTTGTCTCCCCCACGGGTCAGGTGGCCTGTCAATTATCGCAACCGCCAGCTGTGATTGGTGAAACCGTCGTGCCCCGCCCCCTACCGGACTTTAATTACTGCAAATCGGATTGGTTGGTGACATGTCAATCACGTGCCTTGGCCCTGCCTTCTCGAACGCCATTGGCTAACTCCTCATAAACATCTGGGTGGGACGTTGCCGGGCAACGAGCTCCGCCCTGTCCCTCGCGATTGGTGGAGATCTGGCACTCTCCTCAGTCTCCGCGCTGCGATTGGTTCTTCCCTCTATCCATCAAAGAGCCCTGTCCTCACCCTCTCGGATTGGCCACCTCTCCGCGCGCCCCGCGCTCCGATTGGCTGCGGCGCCGGCCCCGCCCCCCCGCGGCGGGGCCCCGGAAGCGTCGGGCGCTCAGTCGGGCGGCGGCGGCCGCGGCGAGCGGAGCTCTGCGCCCACCATGGCTGCGGGGGCCGCCACGGCTGCGCTGCCGCCGCCGCTCCTGGGCCGCCCTCCCGGCGGAGGCGGCACCGAGCGCGCCCTGGAGGAAGCGGCGGCCTCCGGCACCCTCAGCCTGGCCGGGCGGAGGCTCCGCGCCTTTCCCGCGGCGGCCGCGCGGCGCTGGGACCTGAGCGACACCACGCAGGCCGGTGAGGGACTCCCGGCGCTTCCCTGCGCGGGGTCACTCGGGGGGGGGCTGTGGGTGCCCGTCCCGAGGCGCCTCCCGGAGCCCGAGGCCCGCGGGAGGTGCCGGGGGCGGGTGAGGAGGAGCCGGGAGGGGACGGGACGAGCCGGAGCGCCTGGTCCGGGCGGTCCGGCGGCCTCGGCTTCCCCCTCCCAGCCTGGGGGGAAAACCGGCCCTGGGGGGACCCCTGATTAAGGGAAGGGATATGGAGGTGACATCGGCACCGAAGGACCCGGGGATCCCTGTCCTTGTGCCTGGGGATCTCTGTCCACATCAGATCCGTGGGGATCCCCTGTCACCTGTCCCCCTCCCTGGCGATCCTTGTCCTCATCAGTCCCCATTCTTGGGGTTCCCTGTCACCTGTCCTTGGCCCTGGGGAGCTCTGTCCAGATCAGTCCCCTTCCCTGGGGGGATCCCTGTCACTCTCTCTGGGGATCCCTTGTCTCCATCAGTCCCCTTCCCAAGGGTTCCCTGTCACTCTCCCTGAGGATCTCTGGCCCTCTTGGTCCCCATCCCTGGGATCCCCCATCCCTGAGTCTCTCGGTTCCTTGTCCCCCCACCCTCGGGGTTCCCCATCCCTGTTCCCCCCGTGTCCCCCCAGACCTGTCCCGGAACCGTTTCGGGGAGGTCCCCGAGGCCGCCTGTCACCTCTTCTCCCTGGAGGGGCTCAGCCTGTACCACAACTGCCTGCGCAGCGTCCCCCCGGCCATCGCCAACCTCCAGGCCCTGTCCCACCTGGACCTCAGGTACGACCCATCCGCTGGGGAGTATTTGGGACCCGACAGCCCCCCGTGACCCCCCCGGTGTCCCCCCCCGCAGCCGGAACCAGCTGAGCTCGCTGCCCTCCTGCCTGTGCCTCCTGCCCCTGCGCGTCCTCAACGCCAGCAACAACCGCCTGGCGCAGCTGCCCCCGAACCTGGGGGCCCTGCGGACGCTGCGGCAGCTGGTGAGCGATGGAGGGAGGGGGGGAACCCCATGGGGACTGCCCCGGGCCGGGCCTGACCCCCCCTTTCCCCGCAGGACGTCGGGTGTAACCGGCTGCGGGCGCTGCCCCCCGGGCTGGGGCAGCTGCGGGCGCTGCGGGACCTCAACCTCCGGCGGAACCAGCTCACGGCGCTGCCCCCGGGTGGGTGGGGGGCTCGGGGGGGATCCCCCCGCCCTGAGGAGCTCTCCTTGATCCCGTGTTTATTATTAAACCCCCCCAGAGCTCTCAGAGCTGCCCCTGGTCCGCCTGGATTTCTCCTGTAACCGGGTGGTCGCGATTCCTCGCTGCTTCCGGAGGCTCCGGCACCTCCAAACCCTCCTGGCCGACAACAACCCCCTCCAGTTCCCCCCCGCCCAGGTGAGGGGGGCACCCAGAGGCATCCCTTGGAGCCCCCCAAGCCCCCACCTGACCCCCTGCTCCCGCCCCAGGTTTGCCTGAAGGGCAAAGTTCACATCTTCAAGTACCTGCACTTGGAGGCCGAGGCTGCCGCCCACCCCCCCCCGGCGTGGTAAGGAGGGGCTTAAAGAGGGGGGACCCCGCTAACCACCCCCCCGTGCTGGTTTTTGGGGGTCTCCCAGCCCTGTTTTCCTCCCACAGCCCCCCGGACGAGCTGTGCCCCCTCCGGCAGCGGGGGGGACTCGACTCCGGCTTCCACAGCGTCGACAGCGGCAGCAAACGCTGGTCGGGGAACGAGGTGGGACCTGGGGGGGCTCTGGGGGTGTTTGGGGCCTCGGAGGAGCCCAGGGGGAGTTTGGGGTGTTCCCCAGGCCAACCCCCCCATCCCCTGGCATCTCCTTTCCCACCATTTCAGTCCACGGATGAGTTTTCGGAGCCGCCCCACCAGCTCAGGGAGAGTCTCAGCAGGGCAGGTGAGGGGGGTGGGGACCCTCGGGGACCCCCTGTCACCCCCCCGGGGCAGTGTCACCCCCCCAGGGACCCCCTGTCACCCACCTTGTCCCCACAGCTGGTGACAGCGACCCAGAGCTGGTCGAGGAGGAGCCCCCACCCAAGGTGACATCCCCCAACCCCCCTTTGCCCCCCCTCTGAAATTTTGGGGTTCAATCCCAAACCTTGGGCCCCCCCTGAACCCCGGGGCTCCCCCTTGTGCCCCCCCAGGAGCAGCAGGGCCGGACCCCGAGAGGTGACACCCCCGAGAGTGGCAGGTGAGGGGGCTGGGGAGGGTCAGGGGGGTTCAGGGGAGGTTTGGGGGTTCAGGTGGGAGGTTGGGGGGTCTCTGCTCATCCCCCCTCCACCCTCAGGGTGGTCCCCGTGTCCCGGCGGCGCCCCCAGAACCTGGAGGTGTGGAGGGAGAGGGAGAGGAGCCGGGACAGGTACGGGGTGATCGGTGCTGGGAATTTGGGATTGGGGAGATGGGGATGGGACCAGGGAGGGACAGGACTGGGGACATGGGGACAGGGAAGGGCTGAGGGATGGGGATTGTGGGTTTGGGGGAGGAATTGGGGATTGAGGGTGGAACTGGGGACAGGGATGGGGATTGAGGGGGCAAACTGGGACAGAGCCGTTGGGCTGGGATTAGGGGTGGGACAGGGGACAAGGGGGTGGGATTGGGGATGGGGGTGGGA